CAATATGAAACTCTTAGTAAAACAAAATAGTGATCATAATCATGCTGAGGCTGTGTAGTTTTAAAAGTGTTTAATATATGCCGACTCGTGCATATGATCCGCTCCGTGCGATCGGAGCCAAAGTCCGGATCAGATGTGCGCGCTGCCGCGGTTCGCGTGAAACCAGACCTCATTTGCACCAATGGAAAGCATATTTACACTATCTGAATCGTTCCCTTTTTTGGCGGAAGTGACGAACTAAAAGCTTTGAATGCTTATATCTTCTAAATGCGAATTTTGTCACTGTTTCGAGCACACTGCCTTATACAGCAGATAACCTTAAGACTAACATTTTGATACTAACACCCAAACTTTAATTTTGATTTCATGGGGACTTTAAGTGTGAAGTGGTGTTAAGTATTTATGTTGCTAGTGACTTAGAGATGTTGTTCTCCTGCCTGACCACCGTTAAATGAGAAGCGAACCGGAAAAAAAAATCTCGCGTCAAAGAAGGTGGAGTTACAGAACACACCCACCGATTGCGTAATCGCCAGGGACCAATGGAAGCTCAAAGGTGTTTAGGAGCCAAAACGAACTCCCCCCGAAAGTTCGCTTTGGTCAGCTGTTGCGAACTGCCGAAACGAACTCAAAACGAACTTCGTTTCGGCCTGTTCGAAATGACGTCATATCATTTCTTTCTTCGATTTCATTTAAAGTATATCGGGGCCTTTAGGGTTGAAGCAAAACTCTGCAGGGCTGCGGCTCTCCAAGACCGACGTTCGCCACTATAAACTATAAAAAGAACTATAAAAGATGTCTGATGTTTGCCTTCGATTCTCACTCGGTCTGCATAGCCTCATGGAACAAAAACATTACCTTCCCTAGCTTTAAATCTCTCAAGATCTGACCAGAGGAAGACTAACAACTCCACAAACAGCATTACCAGCTGTTTATTACAACCCAGTTTGACTTTATTACTTTCATGTCTACAAAACTTCACCTCTGCTGTACATGGTGATATTCTATTTTCCATCCGTCTTTTTCTTTAATCTTCAGATGATCATCTCCTCTCTCTCCTGATATCACTGTTCATTTATGTAGGAGATTACCGTGATTTTCCTTCAGTAACACAGTTTTAATTTCTACATCATGTGTAAAATACAGATTTTAAAATAAATAGTTTGAATTTAATTCTGCTGTTTTTTTTTGTCATTACAACTGTATAATCCGAAGATATTTTACTTGCTAACACTCAACAACTGTTGACTGATTTTTTATTTTTACATTCTGTTACGTAAAACTGATGGAAACTAAGTGCTTACTACAGCTTACTCAGTTATTGAATACACTCATGATTAAACCAAATACTTTATTTAGTGTGCTGTATCCTATAGTTATGTTTCATATAACAAAGTTACATAAAAAATTTATTTTTTGTCAAGATTACCTGTAAAGTTTCCTACATGTCAAGGTTCCTCTTCATGAAAGCAGCAGGAGATCTGTGTGTGTCTGTTGGGTGAAGTCACTATTTCACAGGTCAAAGATTTATTTTTTTCCTGTACTCAGGCAGATTCAGGTCATAGTACAAACTAACACAAGCTATTATAAAATAGAGACATGAAAATTCTATTCAAACACAGGTCAATATGAATTAAAAATGAAGTGAACTGTGAATTATAGTGCTCAATATAGTACTCTGGCTTGTATATTGAGGTTTTATAATTTATTATAGTAAATACATTTTTCTATTTTTCTTAAAACTTACTCTTATCAATTATTTTCATTTTTACTAATTAATTTTTTTTACCTTTACAGACTTTGTTTTTCTATCAAATTTCATGCCAGCAGTGGACAAACTCACTGAATGTTTTAGATCACTAAGCTATGGCTATAAAAGTAATGAGTGATAAAGATTAAAGATTACACAAAAGGAATCCTTTTCACTCAACAAACCAACGATAAATAAGAAACAATGTGTGCTCTTTGCCCTTGTTTGCCAGAGGTGGACAACTTGGACTGTACTTGAGTGAAAGTACAGTTAACTTAACTAATGTACTTCCTTAAAAGTCCACCACTGATTATTTTGAAAATTAAACTAACTAAATGAAGTTGACAAAAAAAAAAAATATATTATATATATATATATATATATATATATATATATATATATACACATTTATGATGCCGCAAGTAATACTCTAATTATAAAATTTAACGATGGTTATCATTAATGTGGGGACAGAAATTCTGTTATAAAACATGACAACTTTTTACATATCAATACCATATTATTTGAATATTCTGGTACAAAGAGTAAAACTGCACATTTTAGAGTGGCCTTTTAAGGCACACCTGTGCAATAATCATGCTGTCTAATCAGCATCTTGATATGCCACACCTGTGAGGTGGATGGATTATCTCGGCAAAGGAGAAGTGCTCACTAACACAGATTTAGACAGATTTGTGAACAATATTTTAGAAAAATAGGCCTTTTGTGTACATAGAAAAAGTCTTACATTTTTTAGTTCAGCTCATGAAAAATTGGGGCAAAAACAAATGTGTTGCGTTTATAATTTTGTTCAGTATATGTTAAAATGTTTTCATATATCTTAAAACAATGTCATTAAATCTTGGGCACAATACAATAAATATAGTCGGGTGTAGCCAATATTTTTTATTTATGAGATTTATTATTTAAGTTGCATTTTCTGTATACTTTTATTTTTGGACTGTTAATAAAGTCAAAAAATAGTATGTGAGAGAGTCAGTGGTAGTATCAATGCATTCCTATTGGTCAGTGTTAGAGGAGATCAGCTTAACCTGACCGTTAGCCTGCTCCGGACCAGGTTAGTTTCCTAGCTTAAGTTGACAGAGTGACTGAGCTTGAGCTATGGTGAATTTGCTTTATGGAATCAAATCAACTGACAATAAGTCAGACTAAATGAAATAAGCCTGGCTTATTTGGTCGGGTTGTGTTTGAGTTTTGATTTAAACAATATTGTTGATTCACTAATTGTCAGTGCTTCTATATTGTCAAATACAGCTCTAGATTTTGTATGTTTCATTATGGTTTGTAGGGACACTAATTTGAAAGGATTCTGGGAAGTTAAAGTCAGTTTGTACAGTTTGAGTCAGTTCATTTGGGAGGACATGTTTATCATCACTCTGGTCTACAATTTTTTTAGAAGTCATCTGCTTCAGACATAGAATGTGCTATTTATTATGTATTTTTGATGTGACAATTCAAATATGACAATTAAAACAACTGATTGGCTACTGTTTCCAAGAGTTTGCATGTTCTCCCTGTGTCAGCGTGGGTTTCCACAGACCCCACAGGTCAGGTAATTTAGAAAGTTCTAATTGTGTTAGTGTGTTTGTGAGAGTCCTGTGATGGACTGGCCATCTGCCCAGGGTGACTCTATCTGACTCTATCAGGGTGACTTACCCTAGAAGATCATATAAGGAGAAAGAGATACTGTGTAGATTGTACCTGTCACCTGTTTATGTAACACTAAAATAAAAAATAAAAAAAAGGGTTATAAAAAATATTATCATTTCTAGTTTAAATTGAGATCCCTTCTCTTTATAACTCATTTATCCTCTGCCATTCCCAAGTCAAGAGTCGTATATATACTGACCCAATAGCATATCTAGAAAACTAGAGTCAATCAACAAGTTTAAGCATCAGTGACCCAGAATTAGTAAGGTTTGACTACATTTATTTCAGAAGCATTTTGTCTGTAGACCTGTGTAATCAATATCTAACGTGATAAAATAAATAAATTTATACTATGGGGCCGTTGAATGCGTGAATCTGATTGGCTGACGAACGTTCTGAGGTGTGCAATTATTTTCAGGGAAACGCACGGCGAACGTAGTTCCATGCAGCTCTGTTGTCTGCATTACAATTCCATATCACTTCGCATAGTTAACTGTAATAACAGAAATGAGCATACAGTACCTATACAGCACACAGGAATTACTGCAATCACACGTGCTCACACTCGCACACTACGGTCAGGCAGTTTGCACAAAAAGGTGTTGTCAGCGCTGCCCTGATGATTTTATCAGTTAGCCTATATAGTGTAGCAGCTTAAAGGCTACGCATGACATTTCTCACTAGCGAGGTAATAACAGCGCTGTTTAGAGACGCTGCTGCAGAACACTGTTGAGGGACGCACAGAGGTAGCCTAATTCACACAAGCTCTCTCTCTCTCTCTCTCTGTGTGTATCTGTCTCTCTCGCTCTCTTTCTAATAACTACATTAATAACTGCATTAGAATGCTATCAACGGCTCAAGCCTCCATTACCAGCTTTAAAATGATGTTTTGGAACTAGCAAAAGAGGCGTTGGATGAGATGCGGAAGAAATAATCCTACTCACAATAGCGATTTAAGTACAAAAACCGGACGAATCCCTTTAAATATATCATCTGATCGATGTCTTGAGGTGTGGTAACCGTAGTATAAGCGGAATAATTGACTCCGGGCCGTTGAATTATTAGAAAAAGAATGCACACCCGCTTCGCGTCGTGGCCGCATCACCTCCTCGGGTGTGCATTATTTTTCTAATAATTCAACGGCCCGGAGTCAGTTATTCCTTACATAAATAATGCAATCCATGTTAAATTTCATCTGCAACAACACTGCAAACTTTTATAAAGATTGTTCATTATCTTTTGAATGCATCATTATGCAATCATATGAACAGATTTCTCCCTTGAGTGGCAGATTAATGTACTGCTTTATCTGCAATACAGTAGGAAATTAAATAAAAAGTAAAAAATTGAATTATGCTGGATCATCAGATACGCCAGAAAAAGTGTGGGAGAGCGTCTGATGCCATCTGTGCAGTGCAATAACACCTTATCTGAGGAAATACAAACAAAGACACTCAAAACAAACTCACTCCTAGACAGTTTGTCACTATAGGACACTTTATGTGCGTGTGTGTGCGTGTGTGTGCGTGTGTGTGTGTGTGTGTGTGTGTGTGTGTGTGTGTGTGTGTCACACAGATCTTACTCTCTGGGTTACTGAGGGCCTTGTGGATGAATTTGGCAGCTGGCAAGAAGTACTTGCTAATGTCAAACAAGTGGTCGTCCATTACTGGCACACCGTAGTAAGTGATGTTCATGCCTTTGTAATATTTGGCCCCAGTATTGACCTTTCCTAGCAGATCTTCCTTGCTTGGCATTCCTAACAGCACCTTCAGGCTCATCTTTACAGCCGCAGTGTTCAGGATGTGAGTAACACCCATCTCCTTCAGTCGGACTCGGTCCATTGCTGTCTCTCTGCACAAAGAGGATTTATGTACAATTATATAACTGCATTGTGTGATTACTGTATTACATGATTATTATATATATACAGTATACTATATATAGTATATATATTACTATATATGTCATTTCTTTGATAGTGTCAAGTGTTGTAGACTTAGGCCCAATCCCAATTCTATTTTATACCCCTTCCCCTTCCCCTACCCCTCCGTTGTGTTGTGGCACTATCGTGCAGTCTATAATGATATGACATTAGTTAGCAAATATTAGCGATATTTTGCAAACATTTCGAGTAACATGACCGTAAATATGAACTCACAATTGAACGTAACGTAAAACAAATGATTACTTTTCGTTAAAATCTTTATTAATGCCAAAAATGCTTACATTTATGTGTCTTTTTGTTTGCTCGGGCAGCCATGTTGCCCCTGAAGCCAGTTTACGCTGAGATAATTCATACCCCTTCGTTTGAAGTGTGGTCCCGAAAAAAGATAATTATTTTGCTAATTATCTGCCAGTGGGGTAAGAAATTCAAAATATGCTTGTTTCTCTTTGCATTAAGATTATTTTTCTTATACAGCGGACAATTTTGCATGTTTTACGTAAAATGCATTTAAATGCACTTGTTTGCCCCAAAAACAAGACTAAATACCCAACCCATTCTCACTCCCAAGGCGTCAAAAACCGAAGCATGGTCAAGCGCCTTTAGCGTCATTATGAAGACGCCAAAGGTGCCCCTCGGCATCACTATATCGACAAACTGGGACCTACATTGCTTTCAATGGGAAACTTTTGGCGTCAGTACACAGATGCAAAGGGCACGAGAATGATGATCGTTATGAAATCACGTTCAAGAAGTCTCATTCAGCACACATCGCGATATTTGCCATCAGTTTACGTGTGCCACAGGTTGGGTGAGTAGTCTTAATATCTGTTATAAAATTTATTATGTCTTCTTTATTGATCAGATTAGTGCCGTATGTTTATTCGCTGTATTATATCGGTCATCCGAGGCTGTCTTTGAGTTTCATTGCGTTTAACTAAATGAACACACCTGCTAACTAGGGTGATTAAACGCTAACTTATCTGTCACGTGATGTGCCATAGACCTTGGATCAGTTTTATAATTATATCAGGTTCAAAGATGTAAGTTGTATTTGTAGTAAAATCATGGTAACCACAACACTTACAACAGTAACTGTAATTTTACTGTGAAATTTGAAGTTAAAACACAGTAAACAGGACATGTAACTGTAGTTTTACTGTGATATGTATAGTAATAGCACATTAATCACCAAACTTACTTATTGCTTTTATAAAACAGTTACCACACAACGGTGAGGGGTGGTGGACGGTGATCAATGCAATATAACACCAGCAGGGTTCACTCATGATTAATTTATATAAATAATAAACAGTTAATTTTGCTAATATAATATACATGGAACAGTTTTGATGCTATATATTGATTATGTTGCTAAAGGTGTTGCGCAGTGATTCACAGAACAGTTGGGTGAATCGTAACAGTAACAGTGAACTTTTAATACAGTAATACGATAAGCTTTGAGATTTGATTCTGTGGCAGAAGGATGTAGTTCTGCATACAAAATTATTTTGAAGACACTCCGTGGTTGTTTCTTATTTATTTACACTTGTGCCGTTGAACTGTTGTATAAATGCAAAATCATACTCGTAGCCATGCGATATCGCTTTATATCAGCATGGCTGTGATTACCTATATTATTACACACATTGGAACAATCTAAATTTGCATAACAAAATACACAGCAGGACTCGGAAGTTAACTTTTTTACTTGGTAGCACTGGTGCTCCCAACTTTAAAAAGTTAGGAGCATCCCTCAAAAATGAATGAACACCACAACTACAAATGATATATTAACAGATTTCATCTTTACATTCTTAAGTTTAATGCAGATTTTAGATTGGTTAATATTAGCTGTCAATCACTCGGTCACTGCTTTCTGCCGTCAGGTGACGGGGAGCTAACTACCGCGGGAAATACAAAGGTCTGAAGAAGAAAGGTGGTTTACGAAAGAAATCTGTCAGTGTTCTTTTCATTTTCTAAATTAATCTGAGTTTGGTTAAACACAGAGAGAGAGAGAGAGCTCCTCTTTGGTTTGGGTTAGGATGCTGTATGCGGTGTTTCATTTTACACTCCGCTCTGACAATTGCGTGGAACGGCTGGCAGCTAGGGGTGTGCGATATTGACAAAAAATGATATCTCGATATTTTCTAGGATTTTATCGATGACGATAAGTAGACGATATTTTGCTGAGAGTGTTATTCTGCTGGTGGTCTTAAGGACTACCGTGGACAGCTGATTTTGATATTCTGATGTTGATATTCTCTAACCCTAACCGTCACGATGTGGGAAGATTTGCATAACGCCGCCCAAATGTTCACGCAAAGAAAGAAGGTGTAACTTTATTATTGCTGTCGCCGCCGCCGCCATGTTGTGAAGACATGTTGTGTTTTGTTGCGAAAGCGAAAATACTTTGTTTGGCCTTCCAAAAGAGGACACAACTAGAAATCAGTG